CTCCGTCTCTTCCTTCAGGGAGCTTTAGCCGCTGGAGAAATTGGCTTTGAGAACCACGAAACGGTGGCCTATGAATTCATGTCTCAGGTGAGGTCCAGAAGATCTTTTTCTTTCTAGAGGCACCCTCCCCTTTTTTATTTTTCCTTTAAATATTTCTGATCGCCATCGAGAGCAGCAAAAATAAAAACATTACAATAATCAAGATGATTTCTACTGGTTGCTGAAATACTTGGTTTTTTTTTTTTACTTTCAGAGGAATAAAAAATACAGTGCATAACACTTCTTCTGTCTGTCTGTCTGTCTGTCTGTCCTATTTCCTCTGCCCATATTTCTTGTCTGAACCAGGCATTTTCTCTCTATGAAGATGAAATCAGTGATTCAAAAGCCCAGCTGGCTGCAATCACGCTGATAATTGGGACATTAGAGCGGATGAAGTGCTTTGGCGAGGAGAACCACGAACCTTTGAGAACTCAGTGCGTGCTGGCAGCTTCAAAATTGCTGAAGAAGCCAGATCAGTGCCGAGCCGTTAGCACTTGCGCCCATCTTTTCTGGCCTGGCCGGAGCACGGACAAGAATGGGGAAGAGGTAAGGCCAGCCCAAGACTTGAGGAAATGGTCTTCTGTAATGGGCTGTGAGAATAACCTTGAGAGTTGGAGGAAACAGACAACAGATATTCTGCTATCTGTTCAGCTATCTTTTCCACCCCACAAAGGCATTTGGGTGGAAAAAGTATCTCAGAGAGGACCCTCACTAGTTCTTTGGAAAGTAAAGGCAGGGGACGGGGGAAGTGCTTTCAGGCTGGAAACATGCTGTTGCTGTATTTTCACAATAAAGGTAGAATTAGATTTCTTGGTTTTGATTTCCTAATCTGGACTACTTTGGAGGGGATGCTGGCCGGGGAATTCAGGAATTTAAAGTCCACGTCTTACCATTGGTAAATTTGGAAAACACTGTTTAATGGGATTAATGTCTTGGTTAAGGAGAAATTCAGCCTTGGCATATCTTGGCAGGGTTCTGGAAGGAATACAGATTCCGATTGATGCATCAGAGGTGCAAATTGATTGCATTTTCTTTGGAGTTTTGTGAATTCCTCCATGCTTCCTAAATCGGCTAAATAAATACATTAGTCATGCAGCTTACTTTTGAGGAAAATCCATTAGGTAAATGTCTTGATGTGGGGAGTGCTAATCCCCTCTTTTTCTTTGTCTTGTTGCTTAGCTCCATGGAGGCAAGAGGGTCATGGAATGCTTGAAAAAGGCGCTGAAGATAGCCAACCAATGCATGGATCCCTCTCTGCAAGTTCAGCTCTTCATAGAAATTTTAAACCGATATATCTACTTTTATGAAAAAGAGAACGAGGCGGTAAGGAACAGGACGTTGTGTTTTATGCAGAGGTGCACAATCGCCCTCACTATCTCCCATCACCCTCGCCATCTCTCCAAAATTTCCATCAAAATGAGAACTTTAATGAGACCAAAAAGAAGGAACGTTCTTCTTCCCCTCCATCCAACTACAAAAGGAGGCAATCTTTTGACTTAAATTAAAATTACTGGTAGTCCTCGACTTACAACAGTTCCTTTAGTGACCGTACAAAGTTGCAACAGCACTTGAAAAAAATGACTTGTGACCATTTTTCAAGCTTAACAACTGTTGTGGCATCCCCGTGGTCACGTGATCAAAAATTCAGATGCTTGGCAACTGACTCATACTTATGACGGTTGCACTGTCCGGGGCAGGGTGTGTGTGTCATGTGATCACTTTTTGCATCCTTCTGAGAAGCAAAGTCAATGGGGGGAACCAGATTCACTTAACAGCTGCAATGACTCACTTAATACATGTGGCATGAAATGTCATAAAATGAGGCAAAACTCACTTAACTAATGTCTCACTTAGCAACAAAAATTTTGGGCTCAATTATTGTCATGGGTCAAGGACTTACCTATAGTTTTCTAATGGTCTCTTAACAATGTAAGAGTGCTCGACAGATGCTAAATTCAGATTTGTGGAGGCTCCTTTGGCACCATCCCTTCTTTGTCTGAAGCCCAATTGTTTTGCACAGCAGCACAACCTTGTCTTAAGAGGTCAGGCTACATGTTACACTTAGTCTGTGGTCCTTTACGTCTCTGCAGAGCACTGGGAAATAGCAGGGAAGGAGGCTGAGCATCTCATTTCCCAACAGCTTTTCTACCATTGGCGTGCTCTGAATATACAGGGCATAACTGAAGTTGAATGAGAAAAAAGAGAGTATAGGTTAGCGAATGTGAAAGAGATTGAGCAAGTTACAAAGTGGTGGACCATCATTACGACCTCAGGTGCATTATTTTATTGAATCTTCATGACCATCTTGAGTTCTTCTCGGCATTCCTCTCCACAATTAAATCGCTAAACTCTGATCTGAGATCGGCCATTGGGTGAGTGGGCACTGAAAAATTCTGCCAACCTCTAGTTTCAAGTCCCACATTTAGTTGCGACCATATGATTTGCCTCTTTCTTGGTTGTTGCTCAGCAACAATTCCAATCAGCGTGGAGAGGAATGAGGGATGATGGGAGGTGTTGTTCGGCAACGTCACGGTGGTCTTGGCAACAAACCAGATTGTGCATTGTGTAAACCCCGTCTGTCTGACACACTTCTCTTTTTTTAAACACAGGTGACAATTCAGGTGTTGAATCAGCTCATTCAAAAAATCCGGGAAGACCTTCCTAATCTCGAATCGACCGAGGAGACAGAACAGATCAACAAACATTTTCAGAACACGCTGGAGCATTTGCGCTTGAGGAGGGAATCCCCCGAATCCGAGGGGCCAACTTATGAAGGGCTGGTCATTTAAACAAAAGACAACCCCATTCACCCACCCACCCACCCATCCCGGTCCCATTCTGTGGGCGCTTGTCCTCTTGTCTTTCCACGTACAACACACAAGGCATTTTGTTGTTAATTATCATTCTTCTTGCATTAGAGATCATAGACTTTTGTGCCTTTTGGGAGTGCCAACAATAGGCTTTCGGTTCACTCTTCTTCTTTTGTGTGTATGTGTGTGTGTGTGTGTGTGTGTGAGAATGTGCGAATATGTTCTAGGCTGCTGCTTCCAAGCATTTGGGATTTAAGTATTCCTGTCAGAATTTCCAAGGTATGGACTAGCAGGCCAATAGAAAATTAGCATGACTGAATCCGTTCTTCTAAAATTCCACGTGGTTGTACATCTCTCTCCTCCGCCTCCTCCCTTGTCTTCTGATTTTTCTCTCCTGCTCTTCTGTCCTCACATTTCCGCCCAAAAGCCATATAATCTCTAATCCACCTTTTCATCTGCAAGTGTTACTAAAGCTGTGGACTATTTTTTTTTTAAAAAAAAAATAACTTTTCATTTTCTTGTCTGTCAGATTCCACTTTCTCCTCTCTCTCTTTTTTTTTTTCATATTTGTCAGAGTTCTGTCAGATTTCCCCCAACCCAGAATATCTTCATGCATGTATTTGGAGTTATAAAGCACCATTCTTTTAAAAAAAAGGAAAGAAATTAAACCAAGAAAGTTATATTTTGCATATGGGGACTCAAGTGACATACAGTGAGGGTTCAGTATAGTACACAGGGCATATTTATCAAGATAATAGTAAGAAAATTCAAATCAGACGGTGGTCTATAGAGTATATAACCTTCAGTACTGTCAAATTAGGGGGAAATGCAATCTGTATCCTTAATTTGTGCCAGTATAACAATAAAGTTGCTATTAATGGATATGGCCTCAACTATCTCTTGTTGCATTTAATGATCATTCCAGCTCTTTTTAAAAAAGAGGCTGCAATTGATGACTGCATTAAGAGCGTCGCTATAGCAACCACGGCTGTTTTCACACGGGCGAAGCTATGCATTCAATGGGTTACGGCTTGGTGTATTGACTGGAAATTGCCTGATGAAGTCCGTCTTACTTTTCGACCCAAGTTTTGCGGGAGGTTTGCTTACGAGTAGGACGGTGCGGTGGCTCAGCAGTTAAGACGCTGGGCTTGTGGGCTGGAAAGCCGGCAGCCCACGTTCGAGACTCAAACTCCACACGAAGGGGTGAGCTCCCACCCTCGCCTCAGCTTCTGCCAACGTAGCAGTTCAAAAGCATGCAAATGCGAGTAGCTAAATAGGTACCACTTTAGTGGGAAGTAACAGCTCTCTGCGACATCATGCTGGCCACATGACCATGAAATGTCTTTGGACAGCTCTGACTCAATGGCCTTAAAATGGAGATGAGTATCACTCCCTAGGGTTGGCAATGAGTAAAGTCCGCAGGGACTCTTTACGTTTTACCTTTGCTTATGAATAGCATTTTGCCAAGTGGAATTGGAATAATTCCTTGGAACTGTGAGTAATCCTTTGAAAAGCACCACTGCACATGAGCAAGGTCCACCCACAGACTAGAACTGTGATGATGAACCTATGGCATGCGTGCCACATGGCACGCGGAGCCATATCTGTGAGCATGTGAGCGTTAACCTAGCTCAGCTCCAGCGCATATCTGCGTGCTGGCCACGCAGATATTTGATTTTCCGGCCTTCCAGGCCCACCGGATGTTGAGAAATGGGCTGTTTCGGGCCTCCGGGGGGTGAGGAAGGCCGTTTTCGCCCTCCCCAGGTTCCTAGGAAGCCTCTGGAGCCTGGGGAGGGCAAAAAATGGGCCTATTGGGCCCACCATGCCATCAGTTGCCAAAAAGGGGGAGCATGGGGGGGTCGCGCATGCATGCACGGGGTGGGGTGCATTGAATTATGGTTGTGGGCACGCATGCGCGCAGCCCCCAGGCGCTCCCCCCACTTTTGGCATGTGACAGCAAAAAGGTTAACCATCACTGGACTAGAACTTCTATCAAAAGATGCTCCATTGCACTGTGTTTTCTGCAATATGAAGTGGACAAGTAATTTTTTTTAAAAAATCTACATTAGTACAAAGCCCTTGCATGCAAAAAGAAACTGCCTTTTTTTTTTTTAATTTGCAGATACTTCAACACAAGTGTACAATGTCCTCTGGTTAAATTGCTTTATATCAGAATTACATTATTTCTTACGAATGAGGACTCGGTTGGGAATTTACAAAGCGTGCTGAGCTTAGGTACCGGAGAATAAATTAGTCCTCATTTGCATACATAAGCACTGCAAAGCAGTGTAAATTTCTTGCGTTTTCTGAAACCCAAGGTTGAGCTTTCTCCATTCTTTTCATTTTTGCTCAAAAGATGTAGAAGTCGATCTCTCGGGATCGAACATTTGAATTTGCCTTTCCTACTCGGAGGATACGTTCACGCTCAGTGGTTCTATGTCAAAGGTACCTAAGCAGAAGCGTCTCTTCAGTGTTCCCTCTCACGTAAAAATATTAGGGTGGATTTTTGCCTTGGCCGGACAGAGCAATTTCAAAAAGGCTTTTCTGAAACTGATGTGGCACAAAGGATATAATACGGGATTAATAGCTGAATTCAACCACAGTAGCCAAAATGATACTTCATAGAGATCATGGTGGATGCATCTCCCGTGACAACCCGCTCTGATGATCATTAGAAGGGTGTAGGGTGCCCAACATACAGCAAAGATGCAGACAACAATGGCTAAAGATTTGGCTATTTTCTTATCGCGGGAAAGCCGAAACCGGCTAGCGGCAGTATTGGCCACCTCTGCTTTCCCCGTGGGGCCGGATATGTTCTCTAGAGCTTTGTAGACACCGCCCCATGGTGATTCGGTTTGAATGTCTACCTTCCAAGGTGGAAAATCTTGACTGATGTTAAACTCTACTGAGTGAGTCTGGAGGTGATGGATGCCGAGACTCCCCATCGCAGTCTTGCTAGGGGTGAAGCTTCTCACCTTTTCGTTCCTCTCGTCCTCTCTTTTTGTGAAAACTACGACGTGGTCTCGTTTCTTCCTGCAGCAAAGAAGTCCACAGTCCTTTGGGGCTGCTGAGGAGCTCTCGCTTCCGACCGGCGTCCGCTTGCGAATGTTGAAATAGATACTTAAGTTGAAGTAGGTGACACTGATGAATGGTGTGAAGAACTCAATGGTGGAGGCAATCATGAGGAAGTACCAGTTGTAGTGGAATTCGGCATAACACTTGTTCTTAGGGATGATGGTCTGCTGGGCTATGTACTCCCAGCTGATAATGGCTGGACCATAAAGGAGAAATGCTGCAATCCACACCGTAACCATCTTCACCACCGTGCTTTTGGTCATCCCTTTCTGAACTCTGTAGCTCACCTAGAAGAAAAAGTAGATGTCAAGCCCAGGAAAACAGGAGCCCAAGCAGTTCAAATGAATATATCGGTTGATTGTATGCTAACGCTCTCTATAAGTATCTGAACTACTAACTGTCAAGTCAAATTGGCAGTAGATGAGAGTCAACAGAATTCAAGGTAGACTTAAAATATCTTATGGGCGTGAAGGGGCTTGAGACTTATGACACGTTTGACCCCTCCCTCTGGCTCAGCTTGGTCATCTACAACAGGTGGAAATCTGATTATTATGAAAATCTTGTTTAGCAGATGGAAAACTCTAAGGAACAACTGTTTCTATGGTTGATGGCCAACCACAGGTTTTCATTCTTGGACTTTCACAGTTAAACCTCCTTCTACTGACTTGGATCATCATGCCAAGTTGTAAACCTGGTTCATACCATGTATACCAAGCTATGCTTTGCTTTATCACATGTGTTGAATAAAGCACAGTCAGATACCATTGTTTTCATCACATGCTACACTAAAACAGAGCTTTACATAGCTATAGTTCTCCACAATTTAGGAAGTTGAGCCAAGAAACCCACATCATGCCTTTAGTGTGATGTGTGAATACCAACAGCATGTGGTCTGCCTGTTGACATCTTAACTGCAGTTTTTGAGACGATGCTATGCTTCTTATGCTGAATGTGTTGCATGTATGTATGGAGTTGGAGTGGATTTAAAAAGCCATTGTTAAGTAGATACCGTAAGGCTTCACCTATGAACAGGTTTAATGTTTTCTTTTAGTGTGACGTTGAGGAAAGTTTTGACTAGGGATGTCCAAGCTTGGCAACTTTAAGACTTGTGGACTTCAACCCCCCCGGAATTTTCCAGCCAGAATGGATTGGTCCTCCTAAAATTGCTATTGAGGTTTCAGAATATTGTTTGATGCTTCAAAGAAGGAAAAGACAGTGATTGCCATGTCTTTGGTCACATACAGGAGAACAACTGTCTGATGATGTCAGAAAGAGAATGAGTCAGAAAACGTTGGGAGACTGAACATCTGCTAAGGCAGAAATAGTGGTGGCTAATTGTAATTCACGGCAGTGTTTTCTAAACATCTGGAAGACATCAATTAGCTAACTGAGACTCTGTGCAATCACAATCACTTGGGTGTGCCTTAAATTTCATAGCCGTTGACTTATTTAGTTGCAATCGGTGGGTTGCCCAGCAGAATGTGTGGCTTTGTGACACCTGCCTAAAGTTCACACAGGTGTCCCTTGAATTCTGAGAAGATGCCCCTGGCTGGAGATAATCGGAAGCCCCATGGAAAGCAACGTTTCTTACCGCCCTCGTTACGGAGATGAATCGGTCAAAACTGATCAAGACAATGTTGAAGCCAGAAGCTGTGCAGACTAAGTAATCGACCACCAACCAGAGCTTACACAGGCCTTTCCCAAATTTCCATTCATCGGTCAGGATATATGGGATGTAAAGGGGAATACAAAATCCACCTGGGAGCAAAGGAAACAAGGTTGCGGAGACAGTCATAAAGCGGAGGCCAAATTGTAGGCAACTTTTAACGACAAGCAGTGATCCCCCCCCCACACCCTCAACCTTTCACACACTGGACATTTCAAATGGTCCAGTCACATGGAAATCAGGCATGATTTCATAGAAATGAAGACTTGAAAAGGAATGCTGAGAATATACAATACAAAACCCTCCTGCAATGTGTGGGAAAACCAACTAGAGTTGGCTGTGCAATGTCTTCTTTAAAAAGCTCAAGAGATGGAGCACTCACAATCTCACTTGGGCACTATTTCTGAATCTTAGAAACATCCCCCCCATTCCTTCCTTCCTTCCTCCCTCCCTCCTTCTTTCCTTCCTTCCTTCCTCCCTCTCTCCCTTCTATTCCTCCTTCCCTTCTCCTTTTCCTTCCTCCCTCCCTCCTCCTCCTTTCCCTCCTCCCTCTCTCCCTTCTCTTCCTCCTTCCCTTCTCCTTTTCCTTCCTTCCTCCCTCCCTCCTTCCCTTTCCTTCCTTCCTCCCTCCCTCCCTTCTCTTCCTCCTTCCCTTCTCCTTTTCCTTCCTTCCTCCCTCCCTCCCTCCCTCCTTCCCTTCCCTTCCTTCCTTCCTTCTTTCCTCCCTCCCTCCCTCCCTTCTTTCCTTCCTCCCTCTCTCCCTTCTCTTCTCTTCTCCTTTTGCTTCCTTCCTCCCTCCCTCCTTTCCTTTCCTTCCTTCCTTCCTTCCTCCCTCCATCCCTTCTCCTTCTTTCCTTCCTCTCTCTCTCCCTTCCTCCTTCCCTTCTCCTTTTCCTTCCTTCCTTCCTTTCTTCCTTCCTTCCCTCCCTCCCTCCCTCCCTCCCTCCCTTTATTCCTGATTTTAAATGTTAATAAGGGTGGCCTGAAACCTCCCAGTCAAAGGCAAGCAATCCAGGTTTTCAAGAGATGCAATGGATATTTTCAGTCTCAGGTTTAATGAACAAATTCTCCCTCTTAAATTCCTCCTTTCAAATGTAAATAAATTCTGCCTGCCTAGTTTGGGGACTCTGGGTTCAAAGGGATACCGGAGAGTAGTTGGGAATTGTAGCTGGCCCCTTCTCCACTTTATTTTCCACATGAGAAGCCACCTTTCAGTCCTTACTGAGAGGTAGAAAAATTAGTGCCATTGTACCTCTAAACCAGGAGTTTGCCACTATGATATTGACTAAATTCTCATTTATAGCCCATGAGCAACAATGCTTTTTTTCCTTTTCTTTGTGCACATACTATCCCTGTGAAGTAAATTCCTTTTTAAAAAATTGAATACAAACTGAACCAAAAAGTGATTAAACTCTGCAGTTGCCATATCAATAGAACTACACATTGTCTTCACTGCAGTTATTCTTTGTATTCCAAGCCCATGTGGTTTCAATCTTTGATTTTGCCTCCCTGCCACATTTATTCATTTTTACACAGTATTTTTACGTATACTGAGACTTTCCTCTGAAGAACACAAGGCCACTTGCACGGATCTGACTTCTTCCGCAGGAGTTTTGTACACACAATACATTTAACCAAATCCCAAACCCAGGGGCTGCATCCACACAGCTTGTTAAGTTTGATGTAGTGGGAAGCTCGGTTAATTTATTTTGTGACTTAATGCGCTGCGTAAACCCAGTTCATTTTTTCCCCTTGGTTTACAGTTCATTGTATTATGTAAATCCACAAATGGGTTAATTCAAGAATCAGGTTAAACCAGGGATGAAATCCTGCAGGTTCTGACAGGTTCTGCAGAACCAGTAGCGGAAATTTTGATTAGTTCGGAGAACCGGCAAATACCACCTCTGGCTGGTAATGGAGGGGATGGAGAATTTGCAACATCCTTCCCCCAGGAGTGGAGAGGGAATGAAGATTTTGCAGTATCCTTCCCCTGCCATGCCCACCAAGCCACACCACGCCCACCAAGCCACGCCCACAGAACCCGTAGTAAAAAAAAAATGAATTTCATCACTGGGTTAAACAATGCAAAGTATCATCACAACAAACCCATGTCATCTTTATCATTCCCATTGAGAGTTTTGGATCATGTTTCTGCTAAATTAGTTCTGCTCATTTCAAAAACCCATCACAATTTGGGGTTTGATTTAGAACCCTATCTAAACCCAGCCCAACCCATCCCAACCACTGCAAACTGGTGGCCCAGTTTAAGTGCAGTACTGCAGGCAAACTCTGCCTGCAGCCTGGAGTTCAATCCTGACAGTGCTCAAAGTTGACTCAACCTTCCATCCTTCCAAGGTTGATAAAATGAGGAGTTGGATTGTTTGGGGGCAATATGCAAATAATGCTTTGATTTTGTAAACTTCCCAGAGAGTGCTATAAAGTGCTATGGGGCAGTACATAAACCTAAATGCTATTTCTATTTCTATTATAGCTTAGTCAACAGCCAACTGGTTAAGTAAACACCAAGAAGCGTGAACTCTACTTATTACTCAGTTCAATCACACAGTGCTTGCTCTTGGGATACGATGAAAGAAGACCCCTTTCCTTGCCCTCAGTGGTGTTTTGAGCTCTCAGAGAGAAACCAACCAAACCTCCACCAGATCCCCCTCCCATCTTTGACTTTCCCCTGGCTTGACCCATTTCCCAGAAGCTTCACTCACCCACTAAAAAATCTGCCAGGGCCAAGTTCAGGAAGAAGAAGTTCCCTTGGGTCCGTAGGCTTTTGTCCACCACAAACGCCAAGATGACCAATGCGTTGCCCAAGACGGTGACCAACGCTAGGAATCCCATGAGTATTGCCAACAAGACAGTGACAGGTGCTGAGAACTGTCCATGGTGCTGAAAATGATGTTCTGCAGCAGTCACACATCCGTTGCCCAGGCAGGTAGACAAATTCAGTGCCACTTGAGTTCCCTCAGACAAAGCTGCAAGGTGAAGAGACAAAAACGGATTAGCGTTGTTGTTGTTGTACTACTGTGACTATAAACAACAGGCTGGAAAGTCTGATAGTTGTTATTACTCTGGTTATTCATGGATGGATTCATTCCTAAGCATGAGATATCAACCGTTGGAGAAAAGGGGAAGCTGTAGGCTGCCGGAGCATATAAATTGGATTGGTTCCTAGAAGCAGAGGACAGAAATTTAGCAGAAGGGACAAAAGAGAGAATAAAAGGGAGCATCAGAAAGAAAGAAAGAAACACACACAAAGGCAAGGCAGATAATAACCGTTGCTTCTTGCAGGAAAGACTTCCACGGAGAGAAGGAGAAAAGGGGAGACCAAATTACCAGCTTGGTGTTCCATTCTTTGGGTGCTCAAGCTGATGTCTTTTTTCAGAGTTTTCTGTCCTTTTCTGCGGTCCCCATAGCTGCCTTATTGGGCAAAGACGTTGCAAAGCAGGGAGAATCAACTCCCTGGATTCTGTTAAAGCACTGCCAGTTGTATTCCTTTTCTGTTTCAAACAAGTTTGGGTAGGAGGGTTGTGTGTGAGCTTTTGTGTGTGCATGCGCAGGCATGTGTTATTGAGGGGAGGGGGGGAAGGAGGGAAGAAAAGGCTGGCAATGTGAACTGCAATGAAATCCACAGGCATTTCAAAACAGTTCATTTCAGACTAATCCATCTGGCTAAATGATCAATAGATTTGGAGGCGTCTGGGTTCAAATGCATTTTTAATCAGGGATTTAGTTTTGTTCCCCAGTTAGGTTCAAGTCCACATATTTCATTTTTAAAAAATGTTCAAATAGACCCCGAGATAATGTTATTTAGTAGGCTGTTCTGTCGTTTTAAGCTCAGCATGATGATGGTATTTCATGATTATGATCATGATTTATCACTTGTGGCTTGCATGTACTGTATACTGAGAGGTTATGTACTGGAGACAAATTCCATGTGTGTCCAATCATATTTGGCCAATAAAGAAATTCCTATTCTATTCTATTCTATTCTATTCTATTCTATTCTATTCTATTCTATTCTATTCTATTCTATTCTATTCTATTTTTATTCCATTCCATTATATTTGAAACCAATCTCCCACTTTCCTTCACATTCATCCTGTGAAGCAATTTAAGTAATATAAATCATCAGCAGTTTATGTAGCCAGTTGGTGAGTGCTTTCTTGAATGGAATAACATCCCATTGTTGTCTTCCTTTCAGCTTCAGTGCTTTATTTATAAAATAAAGTTATACTGACTCATCTCACACAGAATACCAATGATGTTTACCCATCACCTTGCAAAACGCAACGATTTCTGTAGCATCTTTTCCAAAGCAAGTGATCTCCTATAGAAGTGTTTCTGGAAGATTCTACCCTACTAGCCAGAGCTGGGTTTTCAGCAGGTTCTGACCAGTTCTGGAGAACAGGTAGTGGAAATTTTGAGTAGTTCGGAGAACCGGTAGTAAAAATTCAGACTGGCCCTGCCCCCATCTATTCTCTGCCTCCCAAGTCCCAACTGATCGGGAGGTAATGGGGATTTTGCAGTAACCTTCCCCTGGATTGGGGAGGAAATGGGGATTTTGCAGTATCCTTCCCCTGGATTGGGGAGGGAATGGAGATTTTACAGTATCCTTCCCCTGCCACTCCCACCAAGCCATGCCACGCCCACCAAGCCACACCCACAGAACCGGTAGCAATTTTTTTTTTGAAACCCACCACTGCTACTAGCCATTTAAATATTCCTGAGTTGGTTCTTCCCAAGAGCAAAGAAGGCCCATAGACTTTGGAAGGAGCTTTGTTTCAGGTTCCTGAAAGGATTGTATCCAAGGCTTCATCAACCGGAGAAATAACACCCTTTTATTAGTAGCGTCTAAATTTAATTAAATGGCTGGAGAAAATCTATCACACTCATTTCCTATCTGCCTTCTTTGGACGGCGTATGATAAATTAATCTTTCGCTCCCAAGTGGGTTTATTTATTGTAGTGCTGGCATCTCGGCTGCTCCTGTCATTTCTAGAAAACTCTTTGACTGGAAGGGAGGACATTTCTTTTGCTCCCCATCCACCCCCCCCCACCAGTAAAGTGTAAACCTGAGTGACAGATGACTGAATTGCATGCTTTAAAAAAAAAAAAAAGACTGCAAACAGATGCCTTGGGAATGAGAAATATTGGCAAGTGGAATTAATTATAGCCTGGATATTTTACTCCATCAAGTCACTGAGCCCTCCCTTTCTGGGGGAAAAAAATCCTGAAAGTTATCACCAGACAAGCAGAGATTAAAACCAAGATTAATACTAGACCAAAGCACCACCAAGAACGCACCCACCAACAATAACACAGCAAGCCCCTTGTATGTTAAAAGGATCAAACCAGGGGTGAAATGCTCCCGGTTCGGACCGGATCACCCGATCCGGTAGCGATGGCGGCAGGTGGTTCGGAGAACCAGTAGCAAAAATCCCTGCGCCCCCCCCATGCCCAGCTGAGCCACACGATCATCAGAGGCTTTTTTTTTTTAACTTTTAAAAGCATTTTTTCTACAACTTCCGCTGACTCCCATATAAATCCATTCTAGCGAACTTGGAGCCAAAATAAAACTGTCTGTCCAATTAATGGTGGGTTCAGAAGAAATCGAACCATGCGAGCTCAGAACTTTTGAGCAAAGTTCAAAAGAACTTCAACGTTGTGTATGTCTGGATTAGTTTCCTGTCAACGAATACGTTTCTTCTGTTTTCTTGGAGGCTGCACGTAAAAAAAGGTGACAGGTAAAAACAATCCATGCATTTGAGTGGGAAATTTGAGTGGGAAAGTAAGATGATTAGGGGACTGGAAGCCAAAACATATGAAGAACGGTTGCAGGAACTGGGTAGGTCTAATTTAATGAAAAGAAGGACCAGGGGAGACATGATAGCAGTCTTCCAATATCTCAGGGGTTGCCACAAAGAAGAGGGAGTCAAGCTATTCTCCAAAGCACCTGAGGGCAGGACAAGAAGCAATGGGTGGAAACTCATCAAGGAGAGAAGCAACTTAGAACTAAGGAGAAATTTCCTGACACTTAGAACAATTGATCAGTGGAACAACTTGCCTCCAGAAGTTGTGAATGCTCCAACACTGGAAGTTTTTAAGAAGATGTTGGATAACCATTTGTCTGAAGTGGTGTAGGGTTTCCTGCCTAAGCAGGGGGTTGGACTGTCAAGCAGGTATCCAGTGATCATTGAATTTTTTTTTCTTTTAAAGACACTGTAATCCCTTTCATCAGGGTGGAGTCAGGGTGACTGAATGGAGCTTGAGCATTTACTGGCCGGATGCCCTTCCTGACACCTATGTGGAGTTCACAGCAGATATTTTCTCTTAGTGCCCAGAGAGAGAAATGTCTATCCCTACCTAGGATTGAACTCACAGCCTCCGGATTGTGAGGCAAGAGCTCCACCTCTAGGCTACCATGACACTCCCAGTGATCATTGCAATAAATGTAATTTCTGCCCGCCCCGTATTGTGCTCCTTACTTTGCCCAAATGTTTTTTCTTCTTCAGTTGAGGTTTCTTACAGAGAGGGAAAGGGTTAAGGGCATCCTTGCTGCTCTATATAAGATAGAGATAATTACAAAATCGCTAAAAGAGATTTTGACTGATGTGAGGACTTCTTGCAATGAATCTCCTAAACTTCACATGAATCACATTTCTCCCTAGAGAAACTTAACCTCTCTGCTCTTGAACATTTCATTTTCTTAAAACATCTAATTGCTTGAAATCAACAGCCTGAAAATATATATCTATATCTCTTCCTTTCAAGCACGAATGATGTGCTTTCTAATTTTTCTTGAGCACTTGGGATTAATTACTACTTTGCTAGCAGAACAAAATGTATTGACGTGGATGAATTCCTATTTGTCAAATTATTAAAGGAATCGGAAAAGTAAGGAGCACTATTCAAAGATGTGTTTAAATGTTCACTAGAACAAGACAGTTTCTGCTTTATTCTTTTTTATATATGTATAAATATTTCAAGCATTTCACATCAGTCTTGGTTTAAGAATTCTGCTGCAGTGCGTGTGTGAGCTGTATGGTTATTTGAACTGGTAGCTTTTAGCAAACCCGCGGCCGAGCTTGGTTGATAGCAATAGCAATAGCACTTAGACTTATATACCACTTTACAGTGCTTTACAACCCTCTCTAAGCGGTTTACAGAGTCAGCCTATTTACTCACCGTGGAAGAATGGCATGCTGAGTCAACCTTGAGCCGGTGAGATTTGAACTGATGAACTGTACCTATCAGTCAGCTGAAGTAGCCTGCAGTGCTGCACTCTAACCACCTTGGCTCTTTTGATCATCAAAAGGCTAAGCAGGGTAAGAACCGGGTTGATGCCTGGATATGAAAGTACAGGGACCACAACCTATGAACACAATTGAGCCCTAAAATGTATGTTGCTAAGCGAGATGGTTGTTAAGTGAATCCTAGGGCTGAGAGAAAGTGACTGGCCCATAGTCATCCAGCCGGTCTCCAACAAGGAAAGTCAATGGGGAAAGCCAATTTGCTTAATAACAGTGCGATTCATTTAATCGTAGTGATTGATTCAACTTTCCATCCTTCTGAGGTGGGTAAAATGAGGACCCAGATTGTTGAGGGCAATAGGCTGAAAACTGCTTAGAGAGGGCTGCAAAGCACTATGAAGTGGTATATAAGTCTAAGCGCTATGGCTATTGCAGGTTAATTCTGCTCACTGCCAGGAATTCGATCTTGAGTGGCTCAAGGTTGATTCAGTCTTCCATTCTTCTGAGGTGGGTAAAATGAGGACCCAGATTGTTGGGGAAAATATGCTGACACTATAAACTGCTTAGAGAGGGCTGTAAAGCACTGTGAAGTGGTATATAAGTCTAAGTGCTATTACTATTGAAAGCTAACTCTGCTCACTGCCAGGAGTTTGATCGTGACCGGCTCAAGGTTGATTCAGCCTTCCTTCCTTTCGAGGTCAGTTAAATGAGGACCCAGATTGTTGAGGGCAAGATATTGACTCTGTAAACTGCTTAGAGAGGGCTGTAAAGCATTAATCTTCTCATCGTTCCCACCATCCAACTCCTTCCACTTATGACGGTATGACTGTAACTTTGTTGCTTGTATCCTTATGATTTATATCGATATTGTTTCCTGATTGCTTATTTGTACCCTATGACTATCATTAAGTGTTGTACCTTATGATTCTTGATGAACATATCTTGTCTTTTATGTACACTAAGAGCATATGCACCAAGACAAATTCCTTGTGTGTCCAATCACACTTGGCCAATAAAAAATTCTGTTCTGTTCTGTTCTGTTCTGTTCTGTTCTGTTCTGTTCTGTTCTCTTCTCTTCTCTTCTCTTCTCTTCTCTTCTCTTCTCTTCTCTTCAGTGCTATTGCTATTGCTATTTGCTCAACAACTGTGGCACAACAGTAATAAATTTGGGCACAATTCACTTAAGCATCTTGCTTAGCCGTTGTGTTCGCTTGTTGAGACTTATCTGTATGAAATTGGGGCAAC